GTACAAATAAGCATATGAAAATACCTTTACAGAAATTTATATGAATGTATACAAAGACTGTCCATAATAAATAATAATTAATAAAACATTCTTTCATTCGAGTTGTACTCGATATATACCAAAGTCATACAAATAACATTTTCCCGTACCTACTGAATCTAAAGATTGAGAATTTCGTTCATGCGTTAGTGATCATAATGAAAACTGTATAAAAACCGGTTACACGACTAAACAACCAGGCTAATCAGCCAGTTGACCAATCTGTTTGCGTTTTGCAAGAGTTAACCGTGTTTTTACACCATTTCCAATAGTTACCCAGTAATGTATATTTACCGAAAGAAAGTAAATCATTTATTTCCCAAACCACAGGCGTCGGCACAAATCATGCTTATTGTAGGTTTTCGAAACCTCCATCTCTTCTGCATCAATTCGAATAATTTTAACATAATTCCGGGTCAGGTTCTCTCCTGCGGTGGTTGTAACCTCTGTGCGTCAGAGGCCAATATCGAAGCCTAAAGTAGCTGCTAAAGGTGGACTTATTTGCGACGAGGAACATGATTTTTTTCACAGCAACCAACATCGCCTAAATCATTTTGAAAAGCCAAAGCATCAGACATCATTCATCTATGTACTCTGTCCCTGACCCTGATAACTTAGATGACAATGATAACAACAAAAACGAAAACAACCTGTGCGCGTAGTAAAAATTCTGTCAGAGATATGCTTTATGTTAATAATATTTCTGACGTCAATCACAGTGACAACAAAAAGGAAAGCATTCTGTCACCACATGGGCCAGTATCAGCATTGACTTCAAAAAACTTGCTATATGCGATGATATTTTGGCACATTAACGTTTCCTCAAAACCGGCAATAAATTTGCAATGACATGGGGATAAAAGAAAACAAAAACAGGACACTAATACAGTTTTCTATTTTCGGCGAAGTTGCAGCGCTAGAAATGGTGGAAATGTACAGAAATACTTTCAACTTAAAAACGTTAAGCTTAACCCAATCAATCAGCCGGGTAATAAGGGACCTTCTGAATGTTTGTAATACCTGCCAGAAAATCGAAGCGAATATTGGACATGGAAAGCTAATGAATGAATTAACCAATGAAAAAGTACTCCCTCAGATATTCGTAAAACTCGGATATTGCAGTACATGCATCAATATTAATATTCATACACGGCTCATACGAATACCTATATTTCTGGAGACTCCACGGTGCTTGTACTTCCCTACTGTGTGCATCTTGTGAAGCCACGCGAGAACAGTGAAACTAAGGCCAACAATTTCAACTGCACTTCCGTCTCTGGGAGTTGCTGGCTTGCCGCGGTTACCAGCCTTGTCGCTGCTGCCCATTTTGTCCATCCACGTACCGCAATTCCACTCGTTACCGCCGTGAACGAAACCGGTCGACAAGTCGACTCCTACCTCGATGTCAAAACCTTTGTCTAACATGTATTCGTCAATTTCGCGTCCGGCATTTCGTTCTCTGAACTAAACGTATAACTGTCAATAAGAATACGCATTACTAGCGTAAAATCGTGCTGATTAATTTATCATACCTCATACGCAAATCCAATGTTAATTCTCTAGAGTTGTGTAGATACGATGCAAAGACTCATAATTCATATCCCTTACCTACTTTATCCAATCTTGTATAAATAAGGAGGATTACTCATGTCTTTCCTGGAGACGATCAGCGTTATACAGGATTTTGCGTTTTTTTGTCACATCCAACCATTCCGTACAACCGTCATGAAAATTACCCCCATGTTAGAGTCTGACTATCGGGGTTTTCCACAAGATAATTAGAACGGGTGTGATACTCACAGAGAAATGCTAAAATGGAGGCTAAATTAATACTAGATTAAAATGTGATTACAAATAAGACGTGTCAGAAAATAGCTGCAGATTTACAAAATTGGGATGACTTATCTGCGATCATTATGAAATACCGACAACCTGAAAGGTAGTGTCTATGAAACAGCAATCTACAAAACAGTAGTCAGTCCTGATCTGACGCATGAATCTGAGTGTTTAGCGGTGTATGCATTGAAGGCTGCTGAAATTTGTATTTGTGAGTACACGAAGTTCGGTATTTCTTATTCTGAATCAGACTGAGCGCTCAAACCCGGTTATCGATGGTAACATTTA